TGCTGCTGGTCTTGCTGGTGCTGCGTTGCGTGTACATGCGAGTTCCCGTCTCAGTTCTAGTGTAGTGACTGGTAATGGTAGTGGTATGCTTAGAGGTAGTGCTGTTGGTCACCGTGGTGTGCGCAGCGGTGGTGGTCTCGGAATAATTAATACGAGTCGTACTGCTGCTGGTTGCACTGGTGTTGCCCATGGTGTCGGTGGACATGGAAAAGGTGCTGATCACAGTGGTGCTGGACATTACCGTGGTCGTCGGGGTGAGTTCAATCACCGTGCTTGTCTCGGTGGTGGCGCCAGTCCCAGCGGTGGTGCTGCTGGTCTTCGTTGTGCTGGAAACTGTTGTGCTGGTCCAAGTCACACTCACGGTTGTCCAGGTGGCGGTAACAATCATGATTTCAGGTGGTACGACGTATAATGAGGATTCTACCATCTCTAGCCCGTGCAACTGGAAATTTGATAGCAAAAATGTTGTGAGGTTGTACGAATCGTGAACTAGCTGGCTCGTCGTGACAAAAATTTGCTCAGCGGATGCTAAAGGTGCGACGATCTCGAAACTTATATCCCACGGGGTGGAAACCGACCGGGACGAGGAATAGGCGGCAGATACCGAGAAATGTCCATCATCCACGTCATACAAAGCCGATAGGGAAGAAGTTACAACATGCATCACCTCGTCTTGAGTGCCAGAGCTTTCAAACGACATGGAACTGATCACAACATAAAGCGGCGTAGTGGTACTAGTCTGGGTGGTACTGGTCCTGGTCGCCGTGATGGTTGCACTGGTGCTGCTTGTTTCGCCGGTGGATGTGGCTGTAGATGTCGAGATATCCGTCGGAGTGCTCCCCATGCTGGTCACAGTGGTGCCGCTGGTCGCGCAAGTGCTGCTGCAGTTAGTGCTGCTCGCCGACGTGCTCTTCGGAGTGGCGCTGCTGGTCCCAATGAAGCTCGTGCTGCTGCTGTCGCTTGTGCCGGTCACCGACGTGCTGGTTACAGTGGTCGGAACGACAGTGGTAGAGGACTGGGTCGTGCTGTGCCTCCCGCTGGTTGTGTTCGAAAACGGCTCCAGAGCGGTAAGAGAAGCCAGCCACGCATAGTTGGCGGAGCTCGACACGGGGCCCAGACCCGACTCCACTCCAGAACACGGGGCCTCCGTCACATTTCCGTAGTACAACTCGAGAATTGCTGTGAGCGTTGCCTTGGCGTCGGTTCCATCGGCATCTGAGTAGGTGTCGCGCCACACGTTGTACCAGCCCAGACCATACCGTGGATCGTCATTAGGATCGTTGGGTCTGCCAGGGTAGATCTTCTCGAAGAATACGTTGAACTCAGCGTTGTCCGCCGGAATCAGCTCACGGTACCGCAGCAACAAGCATCGCACACGCTCCGAAACTACCAATTCCATCTCCATCATCTTCGCACCAAGCGCAGAAGGATTCACAGGATGGATACCCCAAGCATGAATGAGCGGCCGCAAATCGAACCCCGCCGCGATGCTCCACCGCAGAGTCCGAATGTCTGGCCAAGCAGACTGCTCAGAGGCGAGTCCAAAGTTGTAGCTCACCATGTCGTGCACAAGGCCCATCTCTTTGTCCTGTTGTTCCTTATGATCCGCCGCCGTGCCCCCTGATACGTAACGGAGTGGTTCAGTCGCATGCGCCGCGGCGCACATACACACAAAGCGCAAGACTCCCCCACGGCAGCCAAGACGGTTCGAAAAAGCCGTGAGGTCACTCCAAAACAACCTACTGCCGAAAAAATGATCCAGACAATGATCATTTCAGAAATCTGGGCCAGCTTCCTGGAAGTTACTTAAAAGAGACATGGGCCAAGTGCTGCTGCTCACGTTGGAGGGGCGAACGTTCTCAAGAGACTGGGCCAGCTTTCCAGCAATTTGGTTAGGAAACGCTGGCTCAGCTGTTCGAGAGGAGGTGTCTTAATCACATACTCGACTGTAGGAAGGCTCCAAGGCCGCCCAAGATAGCCCTACGACGCTCTCAAGGCGGCCCGAGCCCTCGAAGAGAACCCAAGAGACTTCCATGATGCGCTCTGAAAGTAAGAAAGAGGGCGTTTTGCAAGCGCTTGCTTGGAAAAAATGCCCACACATCATCTCGGAAACCCGGGGGGGAGGGGTAAACTCCCCCCCCAGGTTCGAACCCGAGGGGGCGGTAGCCCCTCCTCCTCCTCGGAGAGTAAAAGCTGCCCCCCACGGTTCGAACCCAGGGAGGGGGGGGGGGGGAAAGGCGACGACAACGCGACGACGACGACGACGACGACAACGCCGACGCCGACGCCGACGAAGAGCACGACGCCGCGCACGACACCGACAACAACACCGACAACTACGACGCCGCCGCCGCCGAAACCGCCGCCGCCGACGACGACGACGACACGAAAGCGGCGGCGCCGACAGCGAAGACAACAAAGATGACGACGACGCACTGACAACAACGACGACGATACCGACGCCGACGCCGACGCAAACGCCGACGCCGACGCCAGCGAAGACGACGACGACAACGCCTACGCCGACGCCACCGCCGCCGCAGCGGCCGCCGACGTCGACGACGACGACGACGCCGACGCCGAGAACGACGCCGAGCAGGACGTCGACGACACCGACGCCGACGCCGACGACGACGACGAGAACGACGCCGAGCAAGATGCCGCCGACGCCGACGCCGACGCCGACGACGCCGAGCACGACGCCGAGGACGACGACGAGCACGACGCCAAGCACGACGCCGAGCACAACGCCGACACCGACACCGACGCCGACGCAAACGCCGACGACGACGACGAGCACGACGCCGAGCACGATGACGTCGACGCCGACGCCGACGCCGACGAAGAGCACGACGCCGAGCGCGACGCCAAGCACGACGCCGCTGCCGACATCGGCGACGACGACGACGACGACGACGACGACGCCGACGCCGACGCCGCCGACAACGACGACCACGACGACGCCGACAACGACGACGAGCACGACGCCGACGCTGACGCCGACGCCAGCGACGACAGACGACGACGACGACGACGACGACGACGACGACGAGGACGAGGACGACGACGACGACGACGACGACGACGACGAGAACGACGCTGACGACGAGAACGACGCTGACAACGACGCCGACGCTAACGCTGGCGCCGACGCCAACGCAGGTACCGACGCCGACGCCGACGCCGACGACGACGACGCCGACGTCGCCGCCGCCGCCACCGACGACGACGACGACGACGACGACGACGACGATAACGACGACGACGACGACGACGACGCCGACGCCATGCACGACGTCGACGCCGACGCCGACGACGACGCCGACGACGAGGACGACGCCAAGCATGACGCCGAGCACGATGCCGACGACGCCGACGCAGCCACCGACGACGACGACGACGACGATGACGACGACGCAGACGCCGACGCCGACGACGACGACGACCAGGACGAGGACGACCATGACGACGACGCCAGCGCCGACGCTGGCGCCGACGCCGCTGCCGACGACGACGACGACGAAGACGACGACGATGACGACGACGCCGCTGCCGACGACGACGACGACGAAGACGACGACGATGACGACGACGACGACGACGACGACGACGACGACGACGACGACAACGAAGACGCCCAGCGCAAACACCGACGCCGACGCCCATGCCAACGTCGACAACGACGACGACGCCGACGCCAACGCCGCCGCCGACGCCGACAACGACGACGAGCACGACGCCGACGCCGACGCCGACGCCGACCACGCCGAGGACGACGCCGACCACGACGGCGACGCCAGCGCCGACGCTGGCGCCGACGCCGCTGCCGACGACGACGACGAAGACGACGACGATGACGACGACGACGACAACGACGACGACGACGACGACGACGACAACGAAGACGCTCAGCGCCGACACCGACGCCGACGCCGACGCCGGCGGCGACACCGACACCGACGCCGATGCCGACGTCGACAACGACGACGACGCCGACGCCAACGCCGCCGCCGACGCCGACAACGACGACGAGCACGACGCCGACGCCGAGCACGACGCCGACGCCGAGCACGACGCTGGCGACGACGACGACGACGACGACGACGACGACGACGACGACGAGGACGACGACGACGACGAGCACGACGAGCACGACGCCGTCGTCGTCGCCCCCCCCCCCCCATTGGTCCCGAACCCGAGGGGGACCCCACGAGCGACCACAGAAAGTGCTTTTATCATTGCAGCTGGTGTACCAAAAATGTTGGGATAAACATGTGTTCCACGGAACCCAGCCCCCAAAGCCACTGTGGCCTTCGGTGGAGCTCCCTGCTGCAGTCCAAAAAAGCCGAGAAGTGGAGGCCCGGAGCGAGAAGCCGGAGAGGGAGGAGCACGGGGGGGAGGAGGAGACAAGGAGGGACACGGGGAGGACAGGAGAGGGAGGAGGAGGAGGAGAGGGAGGGGCGAGGCAAGGGAGGACAGGAGAGGGAGGGGCGAGGCAGGAGGCAGGAGAGAGAGGGAGGGAGGAGGATGAGAGGGAGGGGCGAGACAGGGGAGGAGGAGGACAGAGGGAGGAGGCAGGGAGGCGGCAGGCGGCGAGGCCAGGCATCCCGGGACGGTCCAGGGGCCTCCTCCTCCTCCCTCCTCCCTCCTCCTCCTCCTCCTCCTCCTCCTCCTCCTTCCTCCTCCTCCTCCTCCTCCTCCTCCTCCTCCCTCCTCTCCTCCTCCTCCTCCTCCTCCTCCTCCTCCTCCTCCTCCCTCCTCCTCCTCCTCCTCCTCCTCCTCCTCCTCCTCCTCCTCCTCCTCCTCCTCCTCCTCCTCCTCCTCCTCCTCCTCCTCCTCCTCCTCCTCCTCCTCCGCCTCCGCCTCCGCCTCCTCCCCTCCTCCTCCTCCTCCTCCACCTCCTCCTCCTCCTCCTCCTCCTCCTCCTCCTGGGCTGCCCTCGAGGAGTCGCCACACAGAGGGCTGCACACTGGCATGAAGGGCAGAGCCTTGCCGCAGGCATCTTGGGTAGAAGGAGGTAAACGTCTCCCAGCCGAACAGACGAACGATATCTGCGTACTTTCCATAACCGCGATGCTGGTACCTGAACTCGTCAAGCTCGGTGTGCGAATGGTCCATCTCATTGCCGTCGCGAAAATTGGGCGTGATCATCCAGTGCACAGCGGCGTCGTCTGGATCGTAGTTGCTGTGGCTAATGCCCAACTTGAACGCCGTGTCGAAGTCCACACCGAACTTCACGTGCGCAACGTACGTGTACAAGAAATTCACGATGGCCTCCGTCTCCCCACGATACTGGAACGTGAGGTCCTGCCGCTGCTGCGTGTGGCCCAACTCATGCCAACAAACTGGCCATCCCATGGGATCCCGTAAGTACCAATGGTCGTAATTTCCGTCGTAAGACTCTGTTGGGTCCCACAACTGGTTGACCTGCGGGTAGCCTGTGCCGTAAGCGGGGTGCGCAATGTGGCGGTCTGGTTGGAGATACAATGTGTGCACACCACCGTGCCGGTAAGCCGGCGGGTACCCGAACATCTCGGCCATTCCCTCCATTGCGAGGTCGTAGCTCTCCAGCAGAGAGGTCGGCCCTTCGAACGAGTAGACCCACGAGGAAGGCACATTGAGCATGAAGTTGTCGGTCTCAAAATCGGCCCACGGACCAGGCGCCGCCCGCTGGGTGAGCCATTCGCCGTCCGTCATGAGGCGCAAGCCCGTACGCTGGAAAAGCGGGGAGGACACCACGCCGCCCGTGATGTTCACCGACACCTCGCCGAGGTCAGCGAGGTAGGGAACCAGGATGTAGATGCCGCCGCCCAACGGGTTACCCACCAGAGTGTCCACCGCAGTGATCGCCTGAGCCACTGTCACACGGTCCATCCGCAAGTGGAGGTCCTTTTCGCTGTTGTCGTGCGTGTGGGAACCAACGAGCACCTGGTACCCCGCGTCGACCAGGCTCTCGGGCACCGAGACCCGAACCAATTGGCCAGGGCTCAGATAGAACCCCGTGGGACGGCGAGCATGGCCCATGGAGTACTGTGTGGGATGGCCCCAGGCACGGGGCACAGTGGCGTTGAGGGCGACGGCGCACGGCACAGTGGCGCATGGAAGCTCGCTTCGGTCTGCGGGCCGCGGGGCCGCGCCGGGGTAGAAGTCTGCGGTGAGCCACCCGCGGCCCTCGAACAACCCTCGGTTGCACTCCGCCAGGAGACCCGGCCAACCATAGACATCATCGATAAGCGCCTGGTGCACTGCGAGCATGGCGCGGTCCGTGGCGTGACCATCGTCTGGCGACGCAGCTCTGAGAAAGCCATCGGGGTTGTGCGCGGCGCTGAAAAGCGGGCCGTGCGAGTCTGACATCTCGTAGGCGTCGATCAGATCCATGGCTAGTTGGATCATGGTCGAGTTGAACTTCAGGAGCTTGCTCTGCGCTTCGACCGTGGTTTTTGCTGAGGAGAGCTGGGACTCGCCCATGACAGACAAACCGCTCACGTGCATCTGCAGGTCGGCCAGCGCAGCTGTCAGCAGAGCCTGGTCCGAATCGAGCTCGCCCTGACGGGACAGCTGCTCTTCCGCACTCAGTTCCCTTGAACCCGCCGACCCCCCACCTGCTGGGGATTCAAAGGCGTGCGCGCTGACCGTCTGCCCCCCAATCCAGGCTTCCCCTGGGCCACGCCCGCTCGGGAGGGGGGCCCCCACGAGCTCGCTGGCGCGCCCCTGGGATCCTGGGAGCCTCCAAGTCCACCCTCCGGGGCCGCCAAGATGCCCAGGAAGCCCTGTACAGTCATCGGCCTAACCTAAGGAATGATAAATGAGGAACGAAGCCCCTTTCTCCCATGAGTTAAACTCCGATGTTCCACGGAAAACCTGGGGACAACCCAGGGAGCTCTTTAAAACAGCTAAGGAACACGGAGCCCCTCCCAAACGAAAAGGGTTCCTTCTTCAGGGCCCCGACTGTAAGATGGCTCTAGAAATACCTCCAACAAGGAGGAGAGGCCTCAGGAGCACCCAAGACGGCCTCAAGACGGCCCAAGGCCCCCTAAGGCGCACCAGAAGGGCCCCAAGAGGACCCCCGAGAGGACCTCCGAGAGGGCCTCAGGAGGGCCCCAAGAGGCAAAGACGCATGAGTCCCCATAGATTGTTTGAGTGATTTTCGCGTTCTCACCTTCTGGACTTCTGAAAATCCGATACGGCCCGAGATGTCACGCAGACTGGCCCAAGAACCAACGAGAGGCCCCAAAGAGGGCCTGCAGACGGCCCAAGCAAACCCTAAGACGGCCCAAGAGGCCACCTACACGGCAAACAAAACACTCAAGGGGGCCCCCAAGGTTGGCTCAAGAGAGGCCCAAGAGGGGGAACTCGCAGGTACCCCCCTATACCCCCAAGACCCTAAGAGGCCCCCAAGAAGCCCCCAGAGGGCCACAAAAAGCTCCCAGGAGCTGTGGCCACAAAAAGCTCCCAGGAGCTGCGAAAACGCTCCAAGAGGCAGCCCACTAGGCCTCCAAGAGGCCCCCAAGAACCCGCCCACCAGATGCGGAGGAAGAGAAAGCCGAATCAGCGACGGTTGCAGGCAGGCAGCAAGCAGGCAGCAAGTCGGCAAGTATCAAACAACGCATCCGAAATCGGAGGCCGCACATCTCCCTTTCTGGGCGTCGGTGGAATGGCGCGAGCCTCTTGAATCCACCCACCGAGCTGAGGAGCTTGTGAGACTGAAGTGTGGAAGCTCCCTGCAAGGCTTTAGTCCCCCTTGAAACCCGACCCAGACGCCTCTGCCATTCAGCCGCCCGGCTGCTACTTCGACCCTTTTCCGGCCCAAGACGGCTTCCGCTTCCTGATAGCGTGCAAGACGAGCTCGAAAGTCAATCAGCCTGGCGAAGGACCCAACCACATGCAATTATGAGTGCCGCAGTGGTGAGTATAGTCTTCGGTGGAGCTCCTTGTGGGGGGGGGGGGGGCAGGGGGCGAAACGTGTGAGGGGTGTGCCAAAGTCGGATGGCGGCGGCACGCGGGCGCTGCCACTGGGGCCTTCGGTGGAGCACCCTATGGGGCCACAAAACGTGTAAGAGGTGCGCCGAAATGGAGGTGGAACTGCAGGCGAACCCTGCCGCTGGGGCCTTCGGTGGAGCACCCTATGGGGCCACGAAGCGTGTGAGCGGTGCGCCGAAATGGGGGTGGAACTGCATGCGGACCCTGCCACTGGGACCTTCGGTGGAGCACCCTATGGGGCCACGAAGCATGTGAGAGGTGCGCCGAAATGGAGGTGGAACTGCATGCGGACCCTGCCACTGGAGCCTTCGGTGGAGCACCCTATGGGGCCACGAAGCATGTGAGGGGTGCGCCGAAATGCGGGTGGAACTGCATGCGGATCCTGCCACTGGGGCCTTCGGTGGAGCACCCTATGGAGGACATGCGGAGGGCAGAGGCAGGGAGGGGAGGAGGGAGGAGGGGGAGGAGGAGGAGAGGAGATGAGATGCGAGGAGAGGATCGCGGGGTACTGTCTCTTCAAAACGAGGACCCAACAATGGTTGGGAAGAATGTGATAGCAACAGCTATAGGTGTTTGGTGATTTTAGCCTCGTCTGGGGTCGCCTGAATGCGTCTAACCGCTAACTGTCGGGCTCGGCTGGTGTACTTTTCCAGATGCGAACTTCGACTACGGTTTTGGACGATGCTGGGCCCAAACGAGCCCGGAACCAGCCCGGTTTGGATGGCATTCGGACGAGAGTGCGGCTCAGCGCGGAAGTGCTCTCGCGTGGGCCGTCCAGAAGCTCTCCCAGGCCGCCTCGTGCCCTTCTGGTGCCTTTCCGGGCCCTTCTCGGGGCCCTCTTCGGGGCCAGCGTTGCCGCTTTTTTGTGCCGCGTTCGGGCCGTCTATGGCCGATCTCGGGCAGCGTTCTGGCCATCTCTGGCCTCCTGCCATAGATGAAGAATAATGCGGGATGGCGATTTATTCAAAAATGGGAGAGAACGATAAAAAAAAACATAGTTTTCTGCGATGTCTGCACAATTTTCTGACTGGAGGAGAACGATGAAAGAAATCGTTTTCCAGCCCGCGGCCAGTTTTTTCTAATCGTCATCCCGGGCGCCGCCGCGTGAACACGACCCCCGGTCATTTATTAATCGCCATCCTCCATTACGGGCTCCAAAAAACCAGCGTCCATACCACTGATCCGTGATGGTGGTGATGGCGGGCCAACGATTGATCGACGAACTCAATACCGATCGGCCACACGACATACCTGAGCCAAATATGTGATGAGATGAAGGAGGAATGGAGCGCAGAACAAAAAACGATCCCGGCGAAGGACCCAACCATACGCACTCGAGAATAACGCAGTCGAAAATATCCTCTGCTATAGAGCTCCCTTTGAGGCCACGAAACGTGTGAGGGAGTGCCGATATATATATATATATGTATATATATATATATATATATATATATATATATATATCGATTATGTTGTTTATACGAACGCTGCCATTGGGGTATTCGGTGAAGCTCCCTGTGTAGCAACGAAATGTGTTAGGGATCTGCCGAAATTGGTGCGGGGCCGTCATGCGAACGCAGCCACTGAGACCGTCGGTGGAGCACCCTGTGGAGCCACGAAACATGTGAAGGGTGCGCTGAGATGGGGGAGAGAACCGCATGCAAACGCAACCATTGAGGCCTTGTGTGGGGCTCCCTCTGTTGCCACGAAACGTGTGAGGGGTGTTCCGAGACGAGGGGGGAGAACCGCATGCGAACGCGGCCACTGGGGCCTTCGGTGGAGCTCCCTATGGGGCCACGAAATGTGTGAAGGGTGTGCCGAGATGGGGGCGGAACTGCGAGCAAACGCAGCCGTTGGGGCTGTCACTGGAGCTCCCTGTGGGATCATGAAAGGTGTGAGGGGTGTGCCGAGATGGGGGGCGGGACTGCATGCGAACGCAGCCGTTGGGGCGTTCGGTGAAGCCCCCAATGGGGCCACGAAACGTTCGAGCGGTGCGCCGACATGGGGGAAGGAATCCCATGTGAAGGCAGCCACTGGGTCCTTCGGTGGAGCTCCCCATGGGCCACGAAACGCGTGAAGGTGTGCCGAGATGGGAAGCGGAACCGCATGTGAACGCAGCACTGTAGCCTTCGGTGGAGCTTCCTGTGGGGCCACGAAAAGTTTGAGAGGTGTACCGAGAAGCCTGGCGGATTTGCATGCGAACGCAGACACCAAGGCCTTCGGTGGAAATCCCTATGGGGCCACGAAACGTATGAGATGTGTGCCGACACAGGAGAAATGATCGCATGCGAACGCAGCCGCTGGGTCCTTGGATGGAGCTCCCTCTGAGGCCTCGGAACGTGTGAGAGGTGTGCCGACACGGGGGGCGGACCTGCATGCGAACGCAACCACTGGGACCTTCGGTGGGCTCCCAACTGGGCCACGAAACATCTGAAGGGTGTGTCGAGATGGGGGGTGGAATGCATACGAACGCAGCCGTTGGGGCTGTCGGTGGAGCTCCCTTTGGGGCCACGAAACGTGCGAGGGGTGTGCAATTGGGATGACGCCTGTGACCGCCGCCACTGGGGCATTCGGTGAAGCTCCCTACGGGACCACGAAACGTATGCGGGATCTGCCGAAATGGAAGGTCGAATCGCATGCGAAAGCAGCCACTGGAGCCTTCGGTGGAGCCGCCTACGGGGCCACGAAGCGTGTGAGGAGCGTGCCGACATGAGAGGCGGACCTGCATGCGAACGCGGCCACTAGGGCATTCGGTGGAGATCCCTGTGGGGCCACAGTGCGCGTAAAGGGTGAGGAGGAGGAGGAAGAGGAGGAGGAGGAGGGAGGAGGGAGGAGGAAAGGAGAGGAGGGCGCGTGGCGCATCACCAAAGGATGGCTGGAAATTATCCTGGCGAAAGACCCAACCATAAGCAATTGTTGGTAACGCGTTGTGGGTGCCGCTTTCGGTGGGGCTCCATATGGGGCCACGAAGCGCTGCCTCGGATGGGGGAACCGCAATCGGACTGCGCCACCGGGGCGGGCCTTCGGTGGAGCTCCCTATGGGGCTACGAAACGCTGCCCTGGGTGGGGGAGTCGCATGCGAACTGCGCCACTGGGGCCTTCGGTGGAGCTCCCTATGGTGCCACGAAACGCTGCCCTGGGTGGGGGAAGCGCATGCGAACTGCGCCACGGGGGCTTTCGATGGAGCTCCCCATGGGGCCACGAAGCGCTGCCCTGGGTGGGGGAACCGCATGCGAGAGCAGCCACTGGGGCCTCCGGTGGAGCTCCCTATGGGGCCACGAAACGCTGCCCTGGGTGGGGGAACCGCATGCGCAGCCACTGGGGCCTTCGGTGGAGCTCCCTATGGGTACGAAGCGCTGCCCTGGGTGGGGGAACCGCATGCGAACACCCCCACTGGGGCCTTCGGTGGAGCTCCCTATGGGGCTACGAAACGCTGCCCTGGGTGGGGGAACCGCATGCGAACACCCCCACTGGGGCCTTCGGTGGAGCTCCCTATGGGGCCACGAAACGCTGCCCTGGGTGGGGGAACCGCATGCGAACACCCCCACTGGGGCCTTCGGTGGAGCTCCCTATGGGGCTACGAAACGCGAAAACCGCATGCGAACACCCCCACTGGGGCCTTCGGTGGAGCTCCCTATGGGGCCACGAAACGCTGCCCTGGGTGGGGGAACCGCATGCGAACACCCCCACTGGGGCCTTCGGTGGAGCTCCCTATGGGGCTACGAAACGCTGCCCTGGGTGGGGGAACCGCATGCGAACACCCCCACTGGGGCCTTCGGTGGAGCTCCCTATGGGGCCACGAAACGCTGCCCTGGGTGGGGGAACCGCATGCGAACACCCCCACTGGGGCCTTCGGTGGAGCTCCCTATGGGGCCACGAAACGCTGCCCTGGGTGGGGGAACCGCATGCGAACACCCCCACTGGGGCCTTCGGTGGAGCTCCCTATGGGGCCACGAAACGCTGCCCTGGGTGGGGGAACCGCATGCGAACACCCCCACTGGGGCCTTCGGTGGAGCTCCCTATGGGGCTACGAAACGCTGCCCTGGGTGGGGGAACCGCATGCGAACACCCCCACTGGGGCCTTCGGTGGAGCTCCCTATGGGGCCACGAAACGCTGCCCTGGGTGGGGGAACCGCATGCGAACACCCCCACTGGGGCCTTCGGTGGAGCTCCCTATGGGGCCACGAAACGCTGCCCTGGGTGGGGGAACCGCATGCGAACACCCCCACTGGGGCCTTCGGTGGAGCTCCCTATGGGGCCACGAAACGCTGCCCTGGGTGGGGGAACCGCATGCGAACACCCCCACTGGGGCCTTCGGTGGAGCTCCCTATGGGGCTACGAAACGCTGCCCTGGGTGGGGGAACCGCATGCGAACACCCCCACTGGGGCCTTCGGTGGAGCTCCCTATGGGGCTACGAAACGCTGCCCTGGGTGGGGGAACCGCATGCGAACACCCCCACTGGGGCCTTCGGTGGAGCTCCCTATGGGGCCACGAAACTGCCCTGGGTGGGGGAACCGCTGCCCTCGCGAACACCCCCACTGGGGCCTTCGGTGGAGCTCCCTATGGGGCCACGAAACGCTGCCCTGGGTGGGGGAACCGCATGCGAACACCCCCACTGGGGCCTTCGGTGGAGCTCCCTATGGGGCTACGAAACGCTGCCCTGGGTGGGGGAACCGCATGCGAACACCCCCACTGGGGCCTTCGATGGAGCTCCCTATGGGGCCACGAAACGCGTGAGAGGTGTGCCGAGAGCAGAGGCAAGGAGGGGGAGGAGGGAGGAGGGGGAGGAGGAGGAAGGAGGAACGCGGGGCACCGTCTCTTCAAAACGAGGACCCAACACCACAGGATGGTTGGGAAAAAAACAAAACACACACACACACACACACACACACACACACTTGGGGAGTCCTTCATGACTCCCAAAACATTGCCGCCCATGCTTGGCGCTATCTGCGTCTGCCCCAGCGAGAGCTGGGATAGGTGGGCGGCGAACGCGAAGCGCATTGAATAAAAAGAATGTCCAAAGACGCTCGATGCCAGCTGGCATCCCATGGCACATGCATTCGAAGAGCAGTCGTTGCCACTTCCCCACGACTGGCCAGGCGTAACAGGCGTTAAAGGACAGCCGCAAGTGTCATGGCCGAAACAATTCTGAAAATTGGTGCCATCGCTGTGCTGCCACTCGCCCTGGCCCGCGCTGTTGGCATCGGTGCACTCCGCTACGCAATCGTCTTCTGCAACAGCGTACCATGCAATGTGGCAGCCCGCGCTGCAGGTCAGCTGACCACAACCACCTGTGTCCGCAGTACAGCAGTAGCCCGCGGCGTTGCACGCGGCCGTGCACGCAGCACGATCATCTTCGAGGTCCCTTGTAGCCTGGAACTCTGCCACGCATACGCTTCCGCGCACGATCGTACACTGTATGAGGCAGGCCGCGAGCAAGGCTGTAGAATCCGGCCTCGCCATGGCACGACGCCGCGGGCAGCACACACATCCTGCAGCGGCAGTTCGACCATTGAGCACAAACTCGCTGGCCCAACGAGCGAGACGTGTGCTGGATCCCCTGGCCACGCCAGAGGGCCATTACCAAAGAGACAGGAGCCCCAGCAGGAGGCTGAGGAGGGAGGTTAAGGAGGTAGAGGGTAGGAGGAGGCGGAGGAGGAGGAGGAGGAGGAGGAGGAGGAGGAGGAGAGGGAGGAGAGGGAGGAGGAGGAGGAGGAGGAGGAGGAGGAGGAGGAGGAGGAGGAGGAGGAGGAGGAGGGAGGAGGAGGAGGAGGAGGAGGAGGAGGGAGAGGAGGAGAAGGAGGAGGATGAGGAGGAGGAGGGCGACAAACAAGGAGGAGGCATGCGAAAAGGGCAAGTAGGCCGAGTGCGAGGAGGCGGGTGCAGCAGGTAGAGGAGGAGAAGGGCGGAGAGCTAGGACGAGGTAGGAGAGGGCGAAGAGGGCGCAGGCGAGGAGGAGGCGGCGGCGTTGGAGAAGAGGGCCTCGGCCCCAGGTGGCGCGGTGTCCTAAGAAGACCGCCCGTAGCATGTCGTGTCCTCGTTCAAGACGGAGGAAACATCCTAATTCTCGCATGTGTCACAGAGTGTGGTGGCTGTGATGTTGGTTGGCTCGCGCACGCGAGGAGACCCAGGGGCGCCCGAGAAAGCCTCGACACGGCTCCAGGGGCGACAGCCTCAAGAAAGCGCCCGATATGCCTGGAAACCAGAGGCCTGCACTCACTTGAATGTGTTCCCTGGGTACTCCCGTCTTTGCGACCTCGACTGGGCCACCGATGCTACGAAATGGCCTGGTTCAAGAGGAGCACGAAGAGCCAGGGGTTCGAGCGTGGCCCCACGGGTGCATCAGCACGGCCCCCGAGACGACGGGCGAGCGAGAAGCTCCTCGTGCTCGAAGCACGCTGCTCGGATGTGCGAGCACTTCGGCAGTCCGCCACCGTGCTCCCTGGCGCGTGACGTGGTGGAATCAGGCAGGATGCCATGGGCTGTCCGGCAGAGTTTCTATGACCTTCCAAGGGCCCACGCTATTGTCACACAGTGGGACGTAGACCGCCCGCCCGCCCCCCTCGCTCCTAAGATTCCTTGTGCTCTCCAGAATCCCCAGGAAGGCAAGGTCGCCGAGACGGCCCACCACCACCCTAAGAGGAAGCCAACAGCTCTCAATAAGATCCCCAGGTGCTCCCAGAGGCCAACTGGCTTCAGGACACCCCAAGACGCTTCCGCACGGCCCACGAGAGGCCAAGAGCATTGACGTGGCTGCTTGCTGCTCAAATGTTTTCGGTGCCCACGCTCTTCGGTCGAAGATCGGGTCGATGGCCTACCAGGGACTTCCTGGCAGCCCAAAGGAGGCCCCCAGTCGGCTCAGGACGGCCTCATGAGAGCCCCAAGCTGGCCCACAAGGGCTCCCCGAGCGGCCCAAGGCACCCTGAGACGGCCCCAGGACGGCCCCACACGGCCCAGAGGGCCCTCAAAGGCAGCTCAACTCGGGGATGGACAGACCCCCCTTTAGCAAAACGTGGTTTAGTGAAAACGACCTGAGGCCCAAACCTGGCGGGCGCAACCCTGGAAAATAACGGCCACGGCGCCCTCTCGAAAACCGAAAACGGACAATTCACTAATCGACGTGTCACTGTTGGGGGTTCTGTCCACCCACAATCAACGTGGCCTCAATGCTGCCCAAGAGGGCCCGAGGACAAACCGAGAGGGCCCCAGGAAACCCCTGCGACTGCGCCACGGGAGCCAGAGACAGCCCCCAAGACGGCCTATAAAGAATCCACACGAGGGCTCCTCTCCGAAAGTGGTGACGACGTGTGTCCCATGCCACGGCCTGCTGGGCGGTGCTCAGAGGGGTCGCCGCACCGTGAGCTTCGCTGGCACGGTGGCGGATGACAGGAAGCGCCTCCGGGGTGGACCGGTTTTTGATTGCCTACCAGACCACCCCAACCCAAACCGAAGACCCGAATTTCGGGTTGGGGGGGGTACGGGCTTCATATGTGTTTTTCCCATGTTGCCCGACCCCCCCCCCCACTGGAAATGGAGGGCAAATCGGGACCTTCGGGTTGGGTTGGGGTGGTTTGGTGGGCGGTGAGTTTTATGAACCAAGTGCACTTTTCTCGAACGAAGGGATGCGAGCCGATCCCCGAACTCGCTGGCGGACGACGGGAATCGCGCTTAGACTCGAAGGGTCGCGCGATGGACATTGTTTACAGGTCCGGAGGGAGGAATTATCAAGTGGAAGGGTCCAGGGGAGGAGTGGTGGCGGGATTGGGTCGGGGCCCTGAGGTGGCGGATGACGGGAAGAGTTCGTTGCCTGCCACATGATGATTGCGCCAGAGAGTACAATCGAAACACTGTAACATGGTAGCAGGCTGCTTGTGAGGTTTGTGCCAACCTCCTCGGACTGAGCATGCCCATTGTGGAAAGGCACCCCTGATCTGGGGACGTACGCCGACAAGGCGTCCTGATGGCTACTGCTGCGCCAAAAACAGAGGAACCCACGAGGTAGAAACGACTCCCCCCGCCTTCAGAGGTGCGTTGCTCAGCAGACCCCCCTTGCCGCATGACCGCAACAGCGGCCCTGATTCTGCTCAGTGAGCGGCGGGCGTGCGCATCGTGATCCCTTCCGCGGATGTGCCCGCCGCCTCCTCACTTCCCCACCTTCGCTCGCCAGCGATCAAAGCTCTCGCCCCCCGTTCCCCTCAAAGTCGTGGGCTCCAGGCGCGGGCAGCGGGTGGCGCCCTGAGGTGGCACGTCGGCAGGGTCGCGCTCCCTCTGCTGCTCTTCCGGGTGGCGGCGACCTCCGTGATCGGGGCGCTGCATTGGCGCAGCTGGCGCCTGTGGCCTTCTCGTGTGCCGCGTTTGCTCCTCGTGTGCTCATCTGGTGTTCGGCCTCGTCGCCATCTCGGGACCGGAAAAGAGGGAAATGACGAAGAGGGGGGGGGAGGTATTATGGTTCGAGGCAAGTGCTGCGCACAGCTCGCAGGGCCACGCGCACGTGAGCGCGATCAGTTTTCGGCCGACCAAAACACCGCCCTCGGCCGACCAAAAACCCGCCCTCGGCAAGTGCTGCGCACAGACCGCCCTCGGCCGACCAAAGACCTACTTCGAGGGCCCCGGGGGCCGCGGGCACAGGGCACCGCAGGGAGGACTTGGACATGCGAACGCCATCGAACGCCCCTGGGGGTCTCGGCAACCCGAGGGAACCCCCAGGGGCTCTCAACGACGTTCCTCGCATCGCCTTGCGGGGGGGATCGAGCCACGGAACTCGAGATATATCTGGGCAAACATACGCAAACAAAAAGATCCCCCGCGAAGTCTGGAGCCCCCCTCCTCCTCATCCTCCTCCTCCTCCTCCTCCTCGTCCTCGTCCTCCTCCTCCTCCTCCTCCTCCTCCTCCTTCTCCTCCTCCTCCTCGTGGACGCTCCAGCGCGGATCGAGGGACAGCTGAAGTCTTGCAAGAGAAGGCGGCGCGTGCGCCTGCCATCCCGGCTCCGGCAGCGTCGCGAGCGCCGCCGAGCCAGCCGTGAGCCCCGGCACCAGGCCCAGGCCACGCCTGCGCTCCATCAGCAGCAGCGCGATAAGGCCTGGCGGGTGGTGTTCATCCTCCCCCGCCGCCACAATCAATTCCTCCTTTTCCTCGTCTCCTCCTCCCTCCTCCTCCCGCCTCATCATCATCATCATCTTCCCTCCTCCTCTTCCTCGTCATCATCATGTTCATAATCACAACCAGGCTCAGCCGCATCATCATCATAAGCAACAGCATCATCACCACCATCATCAGCAGCAGCATCCTATTCGTCATCCTCATCAGCAAAATCAGCCGAATCAGCGGCAGCAGCAGCAGCATCAGCATCAGCAGTATCATCCTCATCACCATCATCAGCGTCATCAGCACCATGATCATTAGCAGCATCATCATCCTCGTCAGCATGACCCCCACTATTATCATCAGCAGCACCATCAGCAGCATCATCCTTGTCAGCATCATCAGCAGCATCGTCATCAGCATTCCCATCGTTATCGCCATCCTCACCATCACCACCGTCAACAACAAGCACAACAACAACAATCAGTATAAGACTGTTCGCTCTTACTTGCCCGCGTGCCATTCAAAACGAGTTCCCCACACCATCGATACCCGCCCTTCTTGTCTTCGGTCACACCCCCTTTGGGGGATTACTTCTCTTTGCGGGGGGCAGCGGGCTTAGACAGGCGGGCAAACCTGAACGGGCGGACAATCCTTCGTGGGCGTACATGTGCCCGCCATTGGAAGTGGTGTGGGCCCTGTTAAAAGAGGAGGGGGAGAACGAGGGAGATTGGGAGGAAGGGAGGGGGAGGGAAGAAAGAAGAGGGAAAACGCCAGAAGAGAAGGAGCGAAGAGGGGGGCGGTTGATTAGAGGCAGAGAGAGAGAGAGAAACACAAAACAGGTAAGAGAGGTAGAGAAAGAGAGAGAGAGGGGGGGAGAGAGAGAGAGAGAGAGAGACAGAAAGAAAGAAAGAGGGAGGGAGGAGGCAGGAGAGGGGAGGGAGAAGGGAGGAGGGAGAGGAGGGAGAGGAGGGAGAGGAGGGAGAGGAGGGAGAGGGGATAGGGCAGAGAGGCATAAGGATGAGGGAAGAGAGGAGGGAGAGAGAACGGAGGAGAGGAGGGAGGAGGGAGGAGGGAGAGGGAGGAGGAGCAGGAAGGTAAGAGCGTGAACGTTTGAGGGAGTCCTAGGCGAAAGCGCCGTTCCTGAAAGAAGGCTCGGGCGGGAGCCCACGACGGGCGGGCGATCCCCTGACGGGCGAGTCGGGCGGGTGGGACATTCAAGCGGGATGCCTGAGTATGGCGAGAACGCGATTACTAAGTAAATTGTAACGGCGTCCTTGGCGCAGCGTGTTTCCTGAGCGTCGAAAGCACGATTTCTGAATAAATTGCATGGAAGTCACAGGCGAGAGCGCAATTCCTGAATAAAATGTGAAGGGTTTTCTGGCGGGAGCGGGGGTCTTGATTCAATTGCGAAGAAGTCTTGATTCAACTGCGAGGAAGTCTCAAGCGGGAGCGCCGTTCCTGAGTAAATTGTGAGGAAGTCTCAGATGGGAGCGGGGGTCCTGACTAAATTTCGAGGAAGTCACAGGCGGGAGCACCGATCCTGAGTAAATTGTAAGGAACTCTAAGGAGCGGGGGTCCTGAGTAAATTTGGAGGAAGTCTCAGGCGGGAGCCGTTGTTGTTGTAATCTGGGGGGCGAGAGGCCCAGTTTGACCACCAAGACGTTCCCTGTCAAAAAAGATGGTGCGAGCGTCGAGGGGCACACTTTGATTGAGAAAAAAACAGTATGCACTGGCGAGGGGGGATCAACAACAATTATTCTTCAGAAATGAGAGTTCAACAACATCATCAACAACAACAGCAGCATCGAATCAGAATCAGCATCAGCCTCAGCATCAGCATCAGCACCAGCATCACCAGCATCACCATCAGCAGCAGCATCAGCAGCAGCGGCATCACCATCATCATCACCATCATCATCACCACGCCTCTATGAATACTAGTATGGCACAACCTGTCGGAGGCCCAATTGGATTATTGTGTCGGCGCCGGACCCCGAAGTGCGTGAGGGCCTCCGACAGATTATGTGTGTGCCGTTTCCCTTCTTTGATCCTCCTCCTCCTCCTCATCATCATCATCCTCTTCTTCATCCTCCTCATCCTCCTCCTCCTCCTCAGCATTATCATCAGCATCATCCACCTCCTCCTCCTCCTCCTGCCATGTTCTGGGCTTGTACAGGTGGGAAGCCATCAACGGGCCGTTAGAAAGTGGAGTGGAAGCCATCTGCGAGACAGGAGTGCGGACAGCATCAGGACTGGGACTAGAAGCCGGAGGGGGACAGGCAGCAGCAGGCGGACGACGATGAGGACGACGACGACGACAACGGTGACGACGACGACGACGACGACGACGACGACGACGCCAGCGGCGGCGGCGGCGGCGACGACGACGACGACGAGAAAAAGGAATGGCCTGGCCTGTGAGCCGAGAGGCCTCCTTGCGAGAGACCGCCTGCACCACAGCCCGCTCGATCTGACAGTCCTCCCCGCGGGGCGAAGATAGGAGAAGGGAGGCAGGCGGAGGTAGAAGGAGGAGAAGGGGTAGGAGAAGGAGATAGGTGGAGGTAGGAGGAAGAAGAGGGGAGGAGGCGGGAGGAGAAGGGAGGAGGAGAAAGGAGGAGGAGGAGGTGGAGGAGGAGCAGCAGTAGCAGGAGCAGAAGTCTTGGCTGCAGACTACCAGGCCCCATTGCAAGCTTCTGAGGCTTTCGGCCACCGTTGACTCGGCCCAGAAATCACGCCCGCCGAGCGCGGCTTTCCTGTTTCCATCCCGCTTGCACCCAGGAAGAAATCATGCCCCAGGCGGCTCATTCGGAAACTCCCACGCTTGGCTTTGCACCCCGCTCGCGCACCAGTCATTTGCAGAGGAAATCCCAGACGACTCGCTGGCGCAATTAAGCCCTGTTTGTGCCTTGTTTGCACCCGGGTGCAAATCACTTGGCAGAGGAAGTCCCACCCCAAACGCTTGTTCCCTTTTTGTCTGCATCCAGCTTCCAATGCTTACACCCAGCTTGCACCCTACAAGGCACCCATGACTGCGAGGAAGTCCAGCACGGTTTGCCGCTGTGCACCTGGCATTCCCACTTGATGTACAGGGCAGGCTTTAATACATCGGATTGATTTAAATATAAGAATTTAATACATGATTATTTTACGAAGAAATCACTGCATAAATTCGTCATTGCTTGTCATACTAAATCCCTTTATTTTCAACACATGATCCGCACGCGGAGCATGTATTAAACACGGCACTGTACTACACTGAATTGAAGGTACAAGCCCCATACTGCCCGCCTCCTCGTTTGCGGAGCAGCTCCCTGGTCACATTGTGCCCGCCTCCCGGAGGAGGAGGAGGAGGAGGAGGAGGAGGAGGAGGAGAAGGAGGAGGGGGAAAAGGAGGAGGAGGAGGAGGAGGCGGAGCAGCTCCCCGGTCACACTGTGCCAGGCTCCACGTCCCCCACCGGGGCAACCAGCCGTCGCGCCGCGGAGCCCGACCGGACTCCCGTGGAGTCGACTATGGACCTGTGCAGCCCAGTGGCGACCCCTTGAGCCCACGAGAGTGAAGGGGCCCTGGGACGCACAAAGAAATACACACAAATAACAGGAGTCCCCATATTTCCCCATATCTTCTGGGTTTTCGTCTTCCCCCCCCTTCCCATATTTTCCCATGTTTTCCTGGGGATCGACGATTATTTGTGTCTGTGTGTTTTTTCTCCTCTTGAGAGAGCCGTATGGCACCAAATGGAAACAGACAGGGAGTACAATTGAGTCAAGCAGAGCCCTGCGGAGTCCAACTGTGTCCACGGGGTCCACTTGAGTCGCACCTGTACTCCTGCGGAGGCCAACGAAGTCGCTCTGGCGTTCAAATGGGGCCCAATGGGGTCGTATGGGTATCTGAACGGAGCCCAACGGAGTCCAATGGAGTCGCATGGAGACCAGTAGAGACTAGCGGAGCCCAATAGAGTCCGATGGAGGTCAATGGACTCCAGCGGACCGATGTAGTCCCATGGGCTCCATTGGAGTCCAATGCAGTCGCAGGGAGGTCAACAAGAGTTCATTGGAGTCCTGTAGAGAGTCCAATGGAGCCAAAGGAGGTCCTGTGAAGCCCAATGGAGTCGTCCGGGTCAGCGAGAGGGGGTGCCAGAACGGTCTGACTGCATCCCTGGGCGCGCGTCCACTCTGGGGTCACCGTAGAAGTTAATAAGTTAGTAGGGTGGGGAGCTGATCAGTGGGGAGGGTTAGTAAAGGAGGTTCGCACCAGGGAGTTAGTCAGGGGAGGTAGGAAGGGCCCGTTCCATCAGGCACGCGCGGGCAAGCTCGCGAGACGCCCTCTCTGACCCGACCCGCAGACGTGGGACTCAACGGAGTCCAATGGCAACGTTGGTAGATCATTGACGGTCTGGGAGCCCGAGGAGAGCCCCAGGAGACCTAGAAGAACGAAAAACGTCCAGGACCTGCTTCGTCCGAAACCTCTCTCCTCCACCCTGGCGGCCAACGACGCCTCCCGGGGTCCGTCCGACGCCCAGTTCTGCGAGCTGAGTCCACCCGTGGCGACGAGGACCTCCGAAAACCTCCACAAAGAAAACATCCCTAACGTGAAGTCGGGCCAGTCCCCCTACAGGCAGATTTTGGAAGAAAAATTAAACATAGTCCAAAAATACCCCCAAATGGTCAAAAAAGTTAAAACAAACATATAAACCAACAAAAAAAAACATGAACAAAAAATGATAAAACAAATCGTCCCTGACTATTTTGTAACTATTTTTGAACACTCCCCCTGTAGAGGGACAGGCCCGACCTAACCCCAACGACGACGTCGAACCTCGGAGCCTCGAGCGTCGAATCTCCCCCCCCCAAAAGTCCAGGCTGGAGGCCCCCGCCGGGCCGCGCCGGCAGCTCCTCGCCTCGCCAGGCGGGCGACAAGGGGGGGGGATCGAGGCGGGCAAGCTGACGAACGAGCAACACACACCCATACCCATACAGTCGGGGCGTTGACCTAAGGAACCCTAAATAAGGAACGAGGCCCCTCTTTTCCATAAGTTAACCTTCGATTTCCTATCGGAAACATGAGGAAAACCTGAGGCAAGCTGCGAAATACTTAAGGAACGCGGAGCCCCTCCCCAACCAAAAGGGTTCCTTCTTCAGGGCCCCGACTGTAGGGGGGTCGTTGAGAGGAGGACTGGCTACGGGTATGGGTGCGGGTGGTCGACCCTGGGGAGCGCTCCCGTTCGAGCGGGGGGGCCCATCCGACAACACGCACCCATAGCCCTCTCCGACCCCCCTATGGGTATGGGTGTGTGTGTTGCTGGTTCGTCACAAGCGGGTCAGCTCACGCAGCTGGGCTTCCGGGGCGCGAGTTCATTGGGGGTCTGTGCAATCGGCAAGTATCATACTCTCTGGGTTTCTCAACAAGCGTGGGGGGGTACCCCCCAGACGAGGGTCAACCTCGCCTCGTCGTCGCGCCGCCACGGGGGTCGGAGCGCCTGCGGCGCGCGGTGGCTGCCCGCGACGGGGGTCGATGTGCGGCTGTCGGCGAAGGTCACGCCCCCCCCCGACACGTGTAAAGAAACTTGGAGTAAGGATGCGCGATTAGGAGGCAAGGGCCTTGGAAGGCCACGTCGAAGCTTTTCGAGCGGGGCGCGGCCAGCGAAAGTGGGCAAGGACGGGCCGAGGAGGCAAGGATGCAGGGGCCCTTGGGAAGGTCGCCCATCCTTCCTCTGCGGGTCGACCGTACATGGGGAGAGAGAACGGTGCCCTGTTCGGGCCCGAAAGGCCCCCTCGTGGGCCCCAGAGGGCCCGTTCCAGGGGCCCCAAACGGCCCCTCTTTCGGCCCCCCGTCTCTCGCGGTCCGAGCTCCCCGGCGCCGGAAGGCGGCCACCTGAGAGAGCAGAGCCCGACAGCGGGGCCGAATCCAGCTCGGTGGCGAGCCCAGGGGGGGGGCCGAGTGCGAAGTGGCGGGCCATCTCGAAGGCTCGGAAGTCCCCCGGCCTTCTGAGAACTGTTCTGGGCCTTCCCCGAAGGCGCAGAAGACTCCTCGGGAGGCGCGAGGGCCTCTGAGAAGTCCCGCCGCCCTCTGAGAGGGCCTTCTCCTCCTCACGTTTCCCCCCCTCGCCCGGCCGCTGAGGAGAGCCCAGCAGCGCAGCATTTGTTCGCACGGCAGGTGGTTCGTATCGTGACGACCTGTGCATGCGTTTCTGTGGCCGCGTGGATCGTTCGGCCTTGAACGATCGGCGGTTTTTCGATCACCGGACCTTTGCGGGCCACTGGCAGCGTTCGGCCTCGAACGCCCACGACGGGGTCACCGCCGCGTCCACACGACACGCAGCTGTCGACTGGCCCGAGCCTTGTCCACGTCCAGCGCCAGGGCCTCGGGCACCTCCAGCAGCACGTCGCC